CCTCTTTCTTTTTTTTTTGGCTCTCGCCCCATTTTCCGCGCAGACAAAACACCGAAAATCCCGTTCCTCGGTCTTTCACGGAAACGCTTGCTACGCAGGCTAGGTCTCTACTTGATCTCCAGCTAGGGCCCTATAGTTTGGGTGTCTGGGAATAGCGAATAGCGAATAGCGAATAGCGAATAGCGAATAGCGAATAGCGAATAGCGAATAGTGCGAATAGTATCCAACAGTCGCGAAAAGTGGCGAATAGTGACGAATAGTCGTCAATAGTCACCGCTTTAGATCTAATTTCCTGCGTTAATATCATTAATTATCCAAATAAGCAACAGAATTTCAGTGAATTTATTACCTTCTCTTCTCCGGACTCAGGCTAGGGCTGTCCATCCCCGACATTAAGAAAACAGAAAACACAAGGATAACCTAATAAAGACGTATTTACGCGTTTGCAGCGGTTAAAACAGAAGAAATTACGTTTAGAAGCACCTTTCGCCCTGATAAGCGTCTTTGCTTTTAGCGGGAAAATCCCATCCAACGTTGCTGCGAGGTTGACTGCGAGATACTGGGTACCCTATTTGCTACTATTTGCCACTATTTGCTACTATTTGCCACTATTCGCGACCGTTCGCCACTATTCGCACTCTTCGAGACTATTCGCACTATTCGCACTATTCGCTATTCGGGACTATTCGCTGTTCGCTATTCGCGGCTATTCGGGTTTTCCAGACACCCGTATAGTTTTGATCTTGGCTAGGATGAAAAACTGGGTTAGACCGGAATTCACAAGTCATTCAAAAGTTATTGGGTGTTTCTGCGTCGTTACTGTCAATATCGACCAATGTCTATTGTCATGATTTTTTTAATTTGATGTTTATTTCGTTTTATCTACTTTTATTTTACTATACCATTTCAAGAACCTTCGAGACAAAAAAGTGAAGGAACAGTAGTGCTCTGAGCCTGTGAAAGACAACATTCGGTTATGTCGAAATGCCTTGAAAGCAGAATGAGGCGGCATTTCTAGCAACGGCACCAGTTATTTTTTTTTTACAAAATCATTTCACCGTTTCAGACGTTAAAGAGCGTCATACAATGATGTTTTAAGCCCTTTTGGCTTCCACATTTCGTTATGTATCAGTCAATTCGAAACTTCAACATCCACCCACCGGGCAGCCAAGCAGGCATTAGACATTTTTAACTTTCAGTTGGTCAAATTTCCATCCCGCCAGTGGGCAAAACTGGTGTTTAAAAGCCCCACCATAATATCACACGGAGCAAACAAATGCCCCTGACCCAGGGACATACAAGGTCAAAAATGAGTAATGGCACGAGATTATATATTCTCTTGGTAATGGTAAAGAAAAAAATCACCCTTGAACATCCGCTTTGACCACAGTACAACCTTCAAACGAACAGCACTCCAGTGAATTGCATTATCTCTTGATGTCTTCATCGTGGTAACTTCGACATTTCCACGAAGTTTAAATCCCTCTCTACCACCCCCCATGTGGTGTTAGATTCCCCACCCCAATATCAGCCACCGGACGTCAAAGTCC